AGCAGCTCAGACTTCACCCTTTTTCTCATCACAGCTAACATCAACTGGCTCAGACCCGCTTCACGAGCTCTGAGGGTGTGCATTCCTACCAAGTCGTGTCGACCTAACGATGAATTCGGCATTCAATGCCACAATTACCGCATCTTCTAATGAAGCCGGATGCACACGGAAGACTTTCATTATGGCTACGCCAGTGCGTAGACCCTCAATAAAGACGGTCACTGCGACCGCCTCGAGGAGATGACCGGCTGCCGTCTCGGCAATTAGAGTTCTCAACTCTTGGACAAAGTCTCCCAACTCCTTCTTGTCCTGTAGGGTGGCAATGAAACGCAATATGCCTGATTAGGCGGCGAGAACACTCGCAAAAGCTGACCCTTCATTTCCTTTCAGGAAGGGAACGCAGCTTCAACCGAAGCACCACACGTGAGTGTCCATTTTTGCGCTCGGCCCCCAAGCTTAGAGATAGCTAGCCTCACGCGCTATTGCTCGTTCTGGAGCATGGCGGATGCAGCAGCCAGCTCGGCCTCTCTCACCCAAAAAAAGAGATTCTACCCATCCCTGTCCTCAAAGGTCTGAACGCTCACCATGAGCGGCCTGGGTTGTGAAGAGTCATCCGTCGTCGACGCCGACATCTGCAGCTGCAAGGGCTCTAACAGGGCATTTTCATAGCTTAAAAAAAGCGTCTAGGCGCGCTATATCGCTTCGGAAACTTGCAAAATAAGATGTTCCACGCCCTCGGGGCCGAGCAGGGACATTAGTCTATTAAGCCCTTCCTGCATGCCCTGGGGCAAATAGGAGTATTACTCCATCCTCACAGAGGATCAGTCGTAACGACTCAGGCGTAGATTGACTGCGAGTGCTCCCAAGTGCAGCGGGGCTGCCGTAGCACTTTGCTTAAAGGAATGAAGGCTAAGGTCACTGACCTTACGTTTCTTACAAGAACCAGCACTAGTGCAACGGATCGCAATCCGCTAACCCCAAAGTACTTAAAAATTTCACCAAAATTAACACGCTCTTCCGTTTGAAATTGATACTGTATTTGATTGGGTTGCGACAGAGCCGCCAATTTTTAAAACCTTCGGTTTTCCTAATTAATTTAGTAATTTAGTAAAACCTTATTAATATGCATATTGATATGCATATTAATATGGCAATCCTGCCACGTTTTGGCTTCTTGTTACGGTGTAGCCACACTACTGTGTGAATTCACCAACTTGTGTAATCCACACCTATGTACGGTCTGCCCCCCGTTGATACGAGGGTACGTGTAACCCCGTTACATATCGGGTACAATACTGGTTCGACGTTTTAAATGATACCAAGTTGGGATTGTGGAGCGGTGTAAAGCAGTCCACCCATTGTAGAAGCTGTCAATTGCAACTCATTCGTTCGAGCGCTCAAAACATATAGTCGCAATTGACTTGGTCAAATGCCTTCTTAAAATCCAAAACTGGGTCTTCCGCTTTTTAATCTCGACTTGTCATTACTTCTTGTAGATCAAGGAACAGCGCATGTTTGTGCATCTAGCGAGCTTTGATCTGGGTGGATCAAGTCGGGATTGATTCGCTAAAGGCATACGTCAACATTACGGGCGGCATGTCGTCTCAAACAGGGATCAGTGCGATGATTTTATATTTGTCGAGTTGTTCTCTCGGTCCCTTCTTGTGCAGAAGCACGACGACAGTCATGCGATTAGACGAAGCAGAACCTGATGACAATACTCAAGCATTCGTCAAGCACGTCTAGCGCCACATGAAAAAACTCACATCCATGCCAAAAGCAGAAAAAGCTTCCATGTGTCTGATTGCACATGCGAATTCACAATGTTTCACGGGTGAAATTAGGATATCTGTATCCAACTCTGATGCAACCCAAACCAAAAAATCAGATCTTTAGTGCACCATGTGTGAGTTTACCACTCGGTGTGATCATCTCCTCGATCGATACTGTTCACAAACTTGCGTCCAGTGGCGCAAGAAGTGCTAGGTTGATTTCTCTGAGTTGGCCGCTTGAAAGTCGAACGCGATATTCTGGGTGTACTAGATCTTCCTTGTAAATGTCGGCTTGTTATTTCTCATGGCTTCATCAAAGAGTCCGCAGTCAAGATCGTTTGACAACACGTGGTATCGTGCGGCAGCTTGGTCAAGCGCAGCACGGGTATCGCCAACGGCGTGCGTGCTCTGCATTTAAAACTTCTTTTGCAGCTCTTGCAAATGATACTTGATTCAGGTACACAATTCATCGCGGACGATTTCTGCATCCTCCTCGATTGCAGATACCACAACAGTAATCGAAGTGATAGAATGAAAGTTTTCACTTCCCTTTGCCAAGCAGCTAAGAATCACAACTGAAACGCACACTGTGAGTGAAGTGACCGCCAGCACGCTTTTAAAGAATTTGGAGTCGTCTTAGAAGCATTCAAAACGCCCTTGACAGCAAGACTTAGTCCAAAGACGTTTTCCTCTGAATCGGGCTGTGAAGGCTAAGTGTCGTATTGGATTGCCTAGCATCGACAGCGCTTAGTTATGCAAGTCACTTCAAGCATCTGAACTGACCAGGGTCATAGCGTAGAACGGAAGACGTCGAGTCAATTTTTAGGTTCAGAGGAATGTTGAGATAGCCTAGCACCATGCCATCAGACTTCTCAGTCTCCCGTCCCGTGGTTTCTTTTGGTGGTCTACAGCGCATACGCGTTATAAACGGAGACCGTAGTACCTCTAATTATCAGCTTTTCAACGATATACCAGCCAAGAACGAACACCTTACTAAAGTTCTCTCATAGTGTTGAAGCCTGAAAAATACCGTCAGTGCTCCATAGCTTCGTTCTCGGGGTGCGTTTGCAGCTGTAGCACCCACTCGTCGACTGCGTCATACTTCAATACCGTAGACGTCATTGCCCTCGCCGCTACAGAGATTTCACTCATCTAATCGGATGATATCCACCACTTGACCTCGTCTGGAACAGCGCTGCTCTCATCGATGGCACGTTGTCTTCGTGTGCTTCTTGCACTTCAAATTGAGCGTGCCATCTTCGCTAGGCTTGATAGCACTCAGCACATGATTAATTACGTTTAACTGCGCACGCTCTGCGACGATATTCCAGTACCAGCCATCTTCAGCGACAGAGCGCAGTTAAAAAGCCGGTGCTGAGTCCACTACCTTCTTGATGATGTGAATCGGATGTATGACGTTCCGATGAGCTTGACCAAACCATCAACCTGAGTGTATACTTGGGATACACATTCAGCAATAAAATTCAGCAAAACTGTGTGATCATTATTCTCTATTAATTTGGACACTTCATAAATCGAACTAGCTTTAACAATTTTTGATATTTGTGTAGTGCCTATCGATGAAGAAAACCAACCCTCACGATACCTTGATTCCCCATGGACGCTTCACATCGACAGGAAACATTTAGTATCGAGGTCCAAACTTCTTATTGTCGATCGTCATCTTTGCTTCAAAAAGGGCTTCTATCGACTACAGTACCTGAGGTGGTGGCGACGACATCCATAGGATGTGGTCACTGTTCTATCTGCATCTTGAAAAACCAATCCCGTTTCTTGAACGCTCGTTCTTGTTTTTCCTGGTGAAGAGGCCATCGTTTTCATTTGCCAAAAGCAACAAAGGGTATTTCGGTTGCGGTCTAGGACTTTCAGGTGGAGTTATATCGCTTCAGACAAGTAAGGGTGCGTCTGAGTTTCCTTAGGCTTGGTCAGTGATATTTTGTTCAACAAATTGTCATTCTGAGATCTCCGTTGAGGCTGCGTTTTCTGTTTTCCTTCTGCCGCAAGGATTGCTTTGACTTTGTACTTCTAGCCTAGGTATAGGTTTTTAATGGTTGTTGTCTTGCTGCAAAGATTGCCTAGGACGTGCCTTCTTGGCACAAAATTCGCTTTCCACAGACCCGTTAATTTCATGAAGCGACCGATGATCACATAGATGTCAGTCAAAACGGAGTGAAGCATTCCTGCTGCGCACCTCATTGTAAATCACATCGCACACATACCCGTTCAATCATCGCGCTAGTACACGAGCTGGACAAGAAATAATCTCGTCAGGTTACCGATGTTAATTCACTCGGAAGATTCACCTCACATACGGTATAACACCGAGGAGGAACAATCGGAACGGACGTTGACAATGTCAATAAACACTTATCGCCAAGGGTTTGAGTGCAAAACTGACACCAAAGAATTTGGGGCATTCGATCCGCACGTTGCGTCAATCGCCATCACTTTCACGCCAAGGTTACCGCTTGAAAGCTTTGAATCGCTCGTGTAGTTCTGATAGTGCTGCATATGGATGTTGTCAGTGTAATGGCCTACACTAGTCATTACATAAAGGTGCATCTATGTTCCTTCTGTATCCATTGTGAGAGTTCGTTGTGTTTCCAATTGCATACGTGACATCTTATATGGACGAACAATCATTCTGTGTAATATAGATATGCTGATCCATATCTAGAGATCTGCACTGGGGACGAGGCCAACATGTCTCTGTCTTTCGAAGTAGGTGGCGTAAGCAAGTCACTTCTACTGGAAGTTGAAGTTCAAGCTTTTCATTGTTCAGGCTCCGTACACCCATATCTTGTTAGACCTTGATTTATAAATCAGAATCCTAAGGGGTTATAAGTAAACTTATAGGAGCCCTTGAGGTATTTGCACTTAGTTAGGAACCATTAACTCATAATACTTCAGCTGCAATTTTACCTCTACGGTATGAAGCTGCTTCTTTTTTCCTCCAAGTCGGGACTTTCCTTCTCCTTTCACGTCGGGAATCGCTTCCTAATCGAACACGCGTGTTTGTTGTCTTTGAGGGAGTGTTGTGATGGACGCCTTCTTACAGTCAGCCAACGATACTATAAACTTTTGGGGCGTTTGACGAGGGCCTTGCTAGACTCGATTACTATATTAAAGATAGTGGTCGGGGGCAGATAAGGTCGCGCAAAGGAGACGTGATGAGGGCCGACAGCGCCATGGCGGTCAAAAGCCTCAATGTCGTCGGCAGGGGCCTTGAAGATTCTTCGCGACGGCGAGCAGCATCAACAGCAACTATATCACGACGGATTTTTCCTGTAGGACAAGGTTTTCAGCCGTACTTTAACACGGGGTCCGCGGTTGACAGCTAGGACCAGCAGGATCAATTTTCTCAAATGGGGCCGGCCGACAGACGTACCAGTTAAGAGACTGTGCGCGGGCCTGAAATTTAAGGCTGGTGCGACTGCCGAGGGTTGGAAAAATTTCGGGAAATTAATATTTTATAAGGAAACTTGATAGTGAGGGGGGGTAATATTTAACTTGTGGGATAGCTGGCAACTTAAGAAGTCGTGCGGGTCTCGACGCCACGTATAGCGCAGACTTGTTCTGACCAGGACCCCCCCTCAGTAATGTCAATATTTGTCATAACGTTTTCTGATAGTACCGAAGTCGGGACGACAATAGTCGAAGGATTACGTAAAGCATAATGACCCCGCTACAATTTCCACATCAAAATGTAACTCACATTGGGTTCACATCTTGATGGCATTGCGTAAGAGTGAACGCAAAACAGCGTGCAAATGGAGTTCTTCGACTCTACTTGCTCCTCGTGGTGCCAGATTTTATCGCAGCATCCGTATTAAAAATTCTGTCCTAGCGCATTCACGTAACCAGCGAGCAATTCAGATGCTTGTCTGCTGTGACCAGCGAGCCTGAGGCTGTTTTTTGTGAGGCATACGATGTACCCTCCTACACGAGCGGTCATAATGACCCATCAAGTCTCCACCGGATATTTTCGACCCCAATCAGGGACATATGGTGAAGCGACTTTTAGCAGTGAATTTCCTCTGAGGTTGAGAGTTCCCTGTGCACCTCTTCTTCTCTGTATTTACAGCGAGCTCAGTATTTATTTCCTGTGGCGAAGAAATGTACGCCCCCTCCCTACTTTGAAGCTCACAACGACGTTCAATCTTTTTTATAAGTTGGGCCTAGCTGCACGAGCCAAGTTTGCTCGATTAGTATTAGATGGTTGACTTTAAAAGTAAAAAGTACGATGTAGGCGTCATGATAAACTATTACAACCTTTAATTCTTGGAGACAACTGTCTTGTTCGACTAAATGAGCTTCTTCTTTTTCAGCATGGCTGAGGCTCACCGCCTCTGATGCGCTTATTATTGATTTTAAATTCCATCCTTTCTTTGTGGCGTGAAATTTGTACTTCGCATTGAATTCGACAGATATCACTACCTTGAATGGGATAGGATGGACGCGGGAGGCCTCGGTGTAAACCAGAACCGTCTAGAGTGTCTGCATGGGAATGATGAACGTTAACGCCTCCGAAAAGGATTCGGCGCCATTGCGACGATAGTAATTCTGAATTCCTAGACACAGTCCGCCCCAAACTGGCAGCAGGAACTGCTAAATTGCTCGATTTTCATGATTATGCGGTGAGAACAGGTCAATTTAGAGCGGCCAACATTGAAAAGCGTATATTTCACAAAATCACACGTAAAGGCTCAATCTTGCCCGTAGACGTTTCGCTCTGAGATCGCAAGCGCGACACGATATGGCTCCGTTTGGAGCAAGGATGAATCCATGGTCAAATGTCTCTCTCACCTAGAGAGAGGGATTTTTCTTTCCGATTTGAGAAGCCTTGGTGCTCAGCACCAGTGGTTTAACGGTCGAAAGCATCTGTTCTCCATTTGGCACCCGTTTAGGGATTTTCAGGATGTGCCTCACCAGGGCATTCTCAAAGATGGTGAGCGTCTTCAGGGGAGCGGTTCTTCCTCCCGGTTCTTAGATCGCGAGTTCTCTGATCCTGTCGGAATTAAAGATAGACAAAAGCTTTAAAAAACTGGTTTTTCTCCCGGGTAGGTATGCAACGGGGTTACACGTATTCTTGTAACAGGTGTGTGTGAAACACGACATGGGCATGGTCTGACTACACCCAAATAAGAATACGGTAAGTGGCTAGACAGCCAGTAGTTATGCATGTATTTAAATTTTACTACATATATTTAAGAAAATCTATACATTTAAAATTGGGCGGCTTTGCCGCAGATAAAACAAATGAACGGAAGAGTAATTAGCCTTGGGTTAACGCAATAATTTCTTTTGGAGTAAGCGGATTGCGATCTGCTAACTCATACTTGTTCGAAGTATAGATCGAAAAGTCGGTGACCTAAATTACGCTTCCTCTGCGAGCAACGCTACGGCAGCCCCGCTGCATTATTAGCCATGAGTTAAGCTTCTAACTACTCTTGGGGGTAGCGGATTGCGATCCGCTACACTCGCACTGGTTCTTGTCAAGAATGTAAGGATCGGTGACCTTAATCTCGTTTCCTTTAAGCGCAAAGTTACGCCTGCTGCAAGGTATCTAAACGTTTATTCGTCCATCATATTGTACCATGAATCGGTCGTGGCATTGACTTTAAATGCTACCAAGTGCAACGAAATTGCCGTGCACAGAGGCACATATGACTCTCAGAGTCCGCATCAAGAGGATAGGTTCGTTTGCTTCTACAGTGAGCGGAACCGAACCCTATTAGAGTAAATTACACTGCTACTTGCTTTGCAATTTCAAGATTGAAGTGCTGGCCAAAAATTTGTAGCCATGACTATTTCTCAAATTTTTACGTCAATTTTCAGCGAAATACA